AGTAACAAACAAACTATTAAATTGAATTTTTAATTTTATACAAAGCAAGGAATATATGTGTAAAATTTAAATTTAACCTTATGCAAACCCAAATTGTGCCACTAACTGACTACTGACCAGCAGTACAAATTGAAATGATTAATTAATTATTAAATGGCCACGAATTGTGATTTTGGTGATTGTATAAACAATAGAAGTTACTGTTACAAATTTTAATAACACAGCATGAAATTAGACATTTTTTAAGATATTATCTCATAAAATATTGTTTCACAGAAAGTTGAAAAAAAATAAATTAATAATAATATTTATTAAACTTATGATTAGAATGTATAAAAAAAAATTAAAAATAATAATAAGTCTCAAACTTCTAAAAATAAGAAATAAGAACAATTTGAACTATATTACTGAATAAATTGAAAAAGTAGTATACTTTATGAAGTAAAGAATCAAAATAAATAAGAAGAAATTAATAACACAATTTTTTAACGACTAATATTGTCCTCACTTAGCTTAAAATCTGAAATAATTGAATACTTGAATAATTTTCACTTATACTACTAAGTGAAATATGTAAACAATAAACCTTTCTTTTGAAAAATAACTAGAATTATCTAAAAATCAAGTTGTTTTTTTTATATTGTGATAAATTTTAATTTCAACATTTAAATGCATATACAATAATATATGAATAGTTTATGATTAAACAAATAGATAGTAGTGATTAAATGATAGTTCATTTCATTTAAAATTCTATTTTAGAAATTTCTGTCGGTGTGTTATAAAATAAACATCGGAGACAATATAAATAATAATACATTTATCACTAAAACTTGTCAAATAGTTAGAACCTTTCAGCTCACTTGGCATATCTGCCTCAAACTAAAATCAATAAATATTTATAATAATCACTTAAATTCCTGGTGAATTTTATTTTCTAGTTTAATCTATTTTTAAAACTTGCTTACATAAGATAATTTGTATTTCTAATTAATATCCCTATTTTTTTTTTTTTTTTATAGTTCTTTAATTGCATATGTTTAATTTATTATTAGTTATTTTAAAGTATCGTTAGATAATAAAAAGGTTCAGCAATTATTAATTAGTTACTTATTTTATAACATATTAATCATGTCACATAACTAATAATTAAAAATTTACATCAACAAAGAAAAATGTTTTTTATAATTACAATTACACTACATTATATTGTGTGCTTTGTATAATATTTCTTACCTGGATATTTGCATTGCTTCAGGTGGACCTTTGAGACCGCCAGTATCTTCATTTAGTAAAACTTTTAAGCAGTTTAATAACTGCATGGGATCAATTGGTGGCTGAAATTAGAAATATTTGATTAACATTTTTGTTATGAATTCATATTAATTTATACAAATACTTAATAATAAGAAAATTCAAAACCTTATAAAAAATAATTAACAATTAGTTATTAAAAATCAACAAATATTTTAAATATTGTAAGAAAAGAATTGAACTTTTAATAAACATGTGAAACCTATATTATATAGTAACAACTAACAAAACAGCTAAATACTCAATTCTTAATTTATTAATTAAAATATTGAATCAACTCGGCAAGTAATATTTGTGATTTAGTAATCGTCGTATTTCGATGAATGCACAATATAGCTCATAAAAGCTTAGACACACTAATGAAATTTTAACCGTGTTAAGGAAGAAGAGTGATGAAAGAAAAATATTGAACTACTTCAAGAACAACTTTATAAGTCAAAATAGATAATCCATTGTATTTTTTTTTTTTTTATTTATCGATACTATTTCAGTCGTATGACACACATAACGAAATTATCCAAGTAATTAAAAAAATTACAATTTGTAGCTGCGAGGTTTAATTGCAATGAACTGCGCCCTAATAACCTTCATATACAGTAGTACAGTGATAGTGAGAAAGATTGGTCGGAGTTTTGACAAATATATGTGAAAAATAATAATTCATTACTTAATAAAATTAAATTGAAAAATCACTGCATCTCCTGCAATAATAAGGATGCAAGTGTGTGCACTGATTTCAAGTGACGTAACAATATTGTCGGCTCTTGGCGAATATTTACATAGGTTTGAAAATAAGTGGAACACGAATACCTACCAACTATTATTATTTTATGTTCAAGGAATGGCTATCCCATTCTGGGTATTTTAGCTCAGTTTTTTGGGGAAAAGGATTCAAAGGAATATATTAGCAAATAAATAAAAACACAATAAAAACTATCACTGTATACAATTTTTGTTCAACGTTAATTTATATCTTAACTTTCTTAAACAGGTCGGACTAGTAAGTGTTCTACATCTATTAAAACTAACACATTGTTATTTCTACCCGAGGTCAAATAATTTTATAGGGCAAGTCAATATAAGGCCCATGAACTTACCATGGCGTTTTTGTCGTGCGTCTCCGAACGTACAAATACGATTTATACAATGGTTTGGCACTAATTGTTTCTTTTTTTCACAAAAAATAAATATCGTTATTTAAAAATACTATAAAACGTCGAAGTCGTTTGCGTTTATTTTATATATTTTCCTGTCTATAGGAAGGCAGTAAAAATTGAAATAAAATTAATTTAAAATCGATCGTCCCGATGACAAATAGATGATGCCTAGTGTGCAGTATTAGCGAGGTACGTGGACTTTGGCGCCCAAGTGACTTGTTGTTATGTTTCTTCACTGAATACGAAATCGTGATTGAAATTTCACTGATAAACAGCTCAAAATGGCGGACTGAGTTGTCTAATTTCGATATCGATTAGTCGGCGCGTTGCCGCCGTGGAAATAATAAAATAGTTCAGTCATCGTCACACTCTTCATGTATGTATCGGCGCCTATAGCCTTCATTAGAAACAGTTGTAGGATTTTTCTTCTTTCGCCACTCCGAAGGTACAATATTCCGGACAAAAATAATAATCTTACGCACTGCTGAATGGATTAGTGCAAAGGAAGATTTGATGATACTTGTATTATGAAAAACGGAAATCAATAAATAAGATAGAAACTACTGTCGTAATATTGACGAAAATCTCGGGCGGCGTCTCGAGAAAAAAATACGTTGACGTAATTACGGTACCAGACTTAACCTGTCGTGATGAAGGCAATAATATGGTTTGAACCATGTGCACGTAGAGCGATTACGGCATTAACAAAATAATTTGTCGTTGTAGACTTGTCCTTGTCGAATTTAATCAATTGTCATCTACGCAACAAAATTGATGATATTCGTTTTCTCGTCGTCGTTACCGTTTTGAATTATGGTGATCAATTGATCTCGTACGTCCTAATTCCAATATGGCTGCAACACTCGACAAACTGCGGTCTGCGACGTACACTCGACGACGTAACTAAGGCGTGGTAGTGTACTGGTGTACTACTGCCTACTGAAAGTCAGACACACTGACACTAACACTAATGTAGTATATACTATATATCTCTGTAGAGTACAACCAACTCATTACTAACTACTAGGCAATCGCAATAGCCAATAGGCTTTAAGTAAGCAAAGGAATTTCCAAAAATGCCAACTGTTAAAAACTGAATTCGTGCGGTCTTGTTGGTAATAGTTTATCGAAACAACTGAAAAGTAAAACGATAGGGCGCTGAATGCTGATACTGCGCAGTGCGCATAAAGCATAACGAATAACGTCGAACGTCTAACTGGTCGAAGTCTTAGCTGACTTATGCGCAGTGTACAGGGGCCAGGGGCGTAGCTCCACGGCCCACGCACATAGAAAATGTGTAATAGTTAGATATAGGAGGAGGACGAAAGACAAGCGTACGACGTAACGAGCTGAGTGACGGCTAATAATTAATTATGTACTATTTAGTGCAGTGGTCGGCAATAGGCGGCCCGCGAAGGAAAAATAATTGGACCACAAAAAATATATTTTTTAATAATTCTGGTTTTCCACACATAATATATATTTAATCTATTTTATGATGTCTTTAGAAATTACGACGGTGTTTATCGTTTATTGCTTTTTACAATAATAGTTGCGATCACAACAATTATTAGCTAATAATATCTGAGTTTTTAGTTTTTAGTAATTTTTTTTTTTTTTTGATTTTCTGAATCTTCATAGAATTTAATTGCCGACCCCTGATTTAGTGATTACCACAGGACACAGACATGATTGGATTGCTCGCGTAGTCAATCAACAATCAACTATCAACACTCAGAAGTCAGAATGTAAAGAGATTAGGATTTTCGAAGTTGAAATTAGAATGTGTCGATTATCAAAATTCTAAACATTCAATTTTATAATTTATATTGTGATTTGTGATGTCAGTAGGAACTAGGAACATAGCCATAACATATATGTATATAGTATGCACTATGCGATGTTCCAGGTAAACGTACAATAATAATTATAGCCACCTATAGATAATAATCTTTACAACATTACAACAGCTACTGTTCTTTCGGCGTAATAGTGTATAATTAACGCTTGGCACCTCGTATTATTGATTTACTGTACTGTGACGTGGAGTAGAAAGGAAGAATTGATATGGTTATGAGCATTAAAATCACCATCTCACTAAAAAATTTGGAACCACTAGTCCTTACTAGTTATTAGCTAACTAATTTTACGTTTAATTTTTTCTTCTTGAACTTTAAAAATATCTTTTTTTCATTGATAAACAATCACCCGTGACGGGTGTTCACTGAGCGAGAACATTCGAATTCGAACATCCTTCGACTGTAGTAGTCTTAAATCTCAATGAATTATGAAAAGATTGAAAGGCGAACGAGTATGGATCGTCAATATCGTCACGACTCACGGGCCACGGCCTCACGGGCACACGAGCAAACACACTCAATACGATAATAGTGATAATACCTATTTATTGTTGTCATCACAGAGAACATCCATCTAGAATTGCGGAACATATTTCTGTCACACTGGTCACACTGGCTAGATACTTATCAAGACGTCAGTGATAATTCGTGACGTTCCCGAGGACGATAACGTAATCGCTTAAAATATTGAGTTTAACAATAACATTTTCGTACGGAATTTATGACGTACATTGTCCTACATCCAATCGTGTTCGGCAAAGATTAAAAAAAATTAAGTGTAACATTTACCCGGATCAATTTCGGTTATCTATCTTCGATTTTAATACTTAATTGATTAAGTTTATGTAGTTCACGCCCGACGTTAGTAGAGGACGGTAGTTCGTTGCAAATCGTTTACTACCTACGTAATAATTTACCACGTATTTTAAAAACATATTGTTGGTAAAGATTCAACCATGGACCGAGATTCAAAAAAATTATTTCATAAAGTTATCGTCGACGTATTATGCTTAGGTTCAGGTAAGAACTTGTCTTACTTAACATATCTAACAATATTTTTGTAAGCTTAATATTTATTAAGCTTTTATCAGTGGCGTAACTATAAAATTCTAGCTCATGTGCAATATTATTTTATGGCCCCTAAAAATCGTTATATGAATAAAATTAAACAATTACACGTATATATAAAATGTATAATTATATTATGTATTATAATATTTATAATTCATAAAATATATCGTAATTAATTAAATTATATTTATACATGAAATAAATGACATAAGAATATGTATTTTTATACTCTTCGTAATATAAAAGTTTATGGTTTTATCGTAGTATATTATTTATTTTAAAATAGTTTAAAATTATTAACAAAATATACAATTTTAATATATTTTAAACAAAATATTAAAATTCTAGGGCCCTCTTTTGGACCGTCTAGGCCCCGGGCCCCGATGTAATGTACACCTATGCAACCATGTAGTTACGCCACTGGCTCTTATTCAAATTCTAACTCATATTTTATAGTTTACACTCCACTTACAAAACAGTATATTTATTTTTTCCACTTTTTATTTTAATATTTTTAAACCTATATAAAAATTTTCTAGATCAAAAATTGAACATTAATTATATAGGTAACTTGAAACGTTAACTTGATTTTGAGAACAATTTTAAAATAGGCGATAAAGGGTAAGAAAATGTAGGTAGATCAGTTAAAAAAATGAACTATAACTAAAAGAACACTTATCAAGATATATATATTCTGAATATTTGTTGTCCACTTTGGATGACCTCAATTTTCTAAACGTTAATTTTTATTTAGCCTTTTAGGTGAATAATATATCTATTGCTATATTTTTTTTTAGTATTGAAAGCTTCAAAGTTACCTACTTAATTATTTATTATGACAATAACAAAAATAAAGATAATTTTTAATTATAATTTTAATCGTTAAGATAATTTTAATAATATATATAGGTATTTAAGTAGTTACGTTTTCATTCATAGTATTGAAATCGTTTTCAGTATTCAGGTCAATGAGCCAAATCCAAATATATTCACAACTTTAAACATATAATTATTATTTATTATAATAGCTATATCAAAAATCTCTATTATTGTTAAATTGTAAATGAAATAACTTTTTTACAGATTTCGGTCGTGCTCTTGTGCTAAATAAAACACTTAAACGAAACCCATAGATACCACTAGGTATCATAATACAATTAAAATATATTTTCTACAAGTCTATTTATATTTTAAAATTTTAACTCGTATTATGATCTTGATAATTCGTCGGTTTTAAAAATTGAACTAAGGTTTTAAATAGTCAAATATTGAAGTACTTATATAATATTATACATATATTTTTTTTTAATATATACACAATCTGTATTACTTAACTCAATAAGAGTATGTAATGACAAAAAAATATTGAATATTTTGAATAAGAAGTCATCCATAAGTGACGCTTGATCGGGAGTTATTTGATTATCTATATATATTCATATATTATAATATATAGTATTTGATTTTTTTTTATTAGTTAGTTTCCTAATATATATGTATACATTTATATATATACATTCATACAATTATAACGGTAGTTTTCAACTGGCGTGCTAGTTGTACATTATTCTGTACAGTTGTACTCCGAGCTTTTAAATATTTTTTTATAATAATAAAAATATAATATTAATATTAAAGCATAATAAAATAAAATAATTCAATTTTATGTAAAATATTAAATTTTGATTAAAAAAATGTTCTTTAAAAAATAAGTTGTTTATGGTTAAATACTAAGACATGTAAAATTTTCTTAAGAGAACATTTTGGTGTATTAAAAAAAGATTAAAAACCACTGAGCTATTAGATACCTAGATAATAAAGTACAAAGTTTCCATATTATAGATATGTCTATGAGAATTTCTTTGGTTAAAGATTAAGTTCTTATATTATTGTGGTTGCATTATTTGACTATCATACATATATATATATCTGTATTTATTTTAATTCACAAGACATGACAACAATATAAAAAAATTAATGTAAAAATAACGAATACAGAATCTTATGTTAGATTATCATTTCGTTTCGTTCATACAGGTATCAAGCAGATTACCAATAAAAATCATCAAATTCTAAAAAAATTGTTTGAATAATGATAAACAATTTTCTGTTAGTTTTACAATTATCTTCTGCATTATTATTAATATTTTGTTTGTGAACGTTAAATCCACTATATGTATATATTTTATATTTATTCTTGAAAAAATTATTTTTTTATTGTTGTTATATATTATTTTATATAATATGGTTATTGTTAAGGTATACTTATAGAGTTTGACATAAATTCCAGTAAAGAATAATTACGAATATAGATAATAACTAATCAATAATTAATATATGTATATATATTATAAATATATAGATACTATAACCATGACTATACTCTACATCAGGGATGGCAAATTCATGATAGGTACGCGAAAAATTAAAATACTCATTACTGTTTATTTTATTTTAAATAATATAAACAAGAAGACCAAAATATTGTAAGCAATTTTTTATTATCTTTGTCGTCTTCAAGAAAATTAAATTTTAGATTTGTTAAAAAGTTGATAACATACTAGACATAAAACGACTATAATAGTCTAAATATATTCAATAAGTATTTTCTTATTTATATATTTTTCATAATTTGATGACACGCAGAAAAAAATAAAGTAAATTTTGACGTGTATGCTAACAAAATTTGCCTTCCTTACTTTATATCATACATATTTTATACGTCTTTACACATATAAAACTAATAATAACAAACATAATCGTGAATATTTTCAAGTAGTTATTTATGATATTTTTTATTTTTATTTATTAATACTTTATAGTAATAATAAACAAAAATAAATCATAATATTTTTGTATATTTTATTATATATATTTAATATTTAATTGTAGAAATTTCGTAAATTCATAGTCCCACAATTATTTGGTTATTACATTTTATTTAAAGTTATTTAAATTTAATATAAGTATAAGTACATAGAGCAACAAACTTAATAAAAATAAAACATTTTTATATAATAATTTAAAACAATAACATCGTGATTATTTAAACTGTTAAACTGTTTTAAATCAAAATTACGTAACTAACAATTTTTGAAAAATTTTTTATACCTATATAGTAAAATTATACGACTACTTGATATTCAATTTCCAAGAGTTAGACAGTACCGACTAATTAAAAGTTGTAATAATAAATCACGAAAAAAAGTCCAAAACTTTATAAACCAAAAGAAAAAAACCATAATTGAATATTTTATTGAATATTAGTTTTAATTATAAATTCAATTATAATTGTTACTAAAATTATTTATTTTTATTACATAAAAATTGCTTATATTTTTCTGTGTTGGGAAATTCTGCTTTATTAATGTGACATGTGTGTGTGTAAAAATGATTGACATCTAACATATTTATATACATTATATTAATGATATTTTTATTTTGTAAAGCTTGTCTGTAGTATTATTAAAATAAAAAGTATCTATTTAGTTTATAGGTTATTCATTACATTATTGTATTCGTATATAATAATACTATAATACTTTTTGGAAGTCTTACTGCGATTTATTACTGAAAATTGTTAACAAACCATATTTTTTTAAATTGTTGAAATATTTATTAAAATCGATTTTTTTTTTTTTATCATGATTATATTTAAAACGAGAATATCGGAATACTTACACAACACCGTTTTTTAACAAAATTGATTTTGTTGTTTTAGTTTTCATTCAAAATAAAATATCAGTAAGACTTGCAAAAAAATTTTTTTTAACTTGATTGTGATTTAAAATCTATACATATGTGCACAATAAGCAATAATTATGGGAGGATAATAAAAACTAAGAATGAAGAATGAATAATGTCATAGTATGAAGTCTCATTTGAGATACACCTAGTGATTTTATATTTACATTTGCTAATTATTGTAGTTTATACAATATTGAAGTCGCGAAACCAGTTCCGTTTGGATCGTCTAATCAGGTTCCCGGCCAATGTTGGTAAGGTTAAATCCCTGATGAGCTGATTAGAGTTAGATTGAAGTTTTATATAGAAGTGTTTTTAGTATAGAGTAACAGTTTCGTTGATTGAGTAAATTTTTTAGGTCAGAATTGAATTAGTAAAAAGATACTAGGGTGCTCCAGTAAATATACGACAGCAGATATTCTGGAAAGCTTAGATAGTTCTCTCGCTAGATTTTTCAATAGAAACCCATATTACCACTCTATACCCATAACGAGGTTGTAAAAAAGTTTTATAAAACGCACGAGTTAAAGGAATTATGTTAAGGTTGAACGCTGCAGAAGTAGTTTTAGTAGGGCAGTCTTGTGTTTAAATAACAGAACATTTATAGAAATTATTTTAGCATACATAATATAAAGTATTTACGCTAGTAATACTTTAATTCGCTCTGTAGTGAATGAGCGTGTAATTTTCTTACTATAATCAAAAAATAACTTTATATTTTTGGTGGGAAAAAACATTCTATAATTACGATAGCAAAATATTTTAATGAAAAATTGTTGCAATATTGTAATTAATAATACCAAAAAGCTCTTATTTTTTTTTTTCAACAATATAAGTTTTGAAGATCTTAAAATCTCTTACTTGCTCTCATATTAATATTTCTTTTCCTTTTACACAATGTAATGTTCTAAATTTTAAACTAAAATTTCAAGCTATTTATAAATACATAACATTTTCGAATTTATTTTGTTTTTTTCTAAAATTTATGCTTAAGTGTGGTACATTAAGATTATTATTCATGAGTTCTTTTTAAAACAATTAAAAAATATTAGAAGAATAAGACGCATGTGCGCACAGTTTAAATTAATAAATTTATGTAATTCAAAATAATGCCATTGCGGATGATTAAAAATTTTTATCGGAGTTTTGAACCAGCGTGATTAGGTAAAGTTGTCGTTGAGTCACCTTAAAAATTTATCATACTGTTATTGATGTTATAAATCTCGTTAGAAATCAAATGTATACGTCTATAGCTTGTATCACCATAAAAAGATATACTTTATGTAAAATATAACTCATAAGTACAAACTATATCGATTGTGTTCCATCTCCAATAACTGTAAATTGTTACATACTCGTATAATTGTTTAATATGTACAAAAAAGATAACGAAAAAAAAAAGAGTTTATAAAATATTTGTATGTATATATATATATATATAAATCAATATGCTTATATAATTAGATTTTAATTTATAAATTGATTCTAGATGCATTATCAAGTATTATATAATTGGCTATACTTAGCAAATATTCGAATAGTTTTTTAAAAACTCTTTTATAAACCCCCATATTAATTTTAAGTTGTTGAAATAAATTGCATTTATTTATTGTAGATACTCTACATTTTTTTGTACATTATATTATCTGGTTGCTTTTATTTCACATTCCACATTTCCACTTCTTTACATTATACTGTCCCCTGTCCACATACACACATTATTATTTACTACAGAATATAAACTGACTAGTGATTAATAACTTATACTTGTATTAAGTTAAATTATTATATTTATATAAAACTAATTTATTAAACCTACTTGTTTCTAGAGGAAATCAAATTTTTATAAATCAAAAATTGGTATATTATAAAAACTGTATATTATTATAGTTTTGTACTATACAAATTTCATATTTCATTTTGTATTTTGCCTACAGAAAATTAATGGTGTTAGTTATGCATAAAAATAGGCCCTCGATAGTACTGTTAAAAGGTACCTATATGTGGATGTAATTGTTAAATGATAAATATTACGACTTCTATTAACTTGCATGATGCAAATTGCACGTGGGTGTGTGCATGCATGCTATATGTGTAAAATAAAGTGTATTTTAAAGTAACACGAGGTCTCATTCTCAAGAATTTAAATTATAATTAATACTTTTAATCAAATTTAAATACTATGTACTATATTAAACATGGCTAAATGCCAAATTACTATTACATAATAATAATAATTTAATTATTATAGGTTCTACCAAATTAGTCTAATTCTTAAATTTTTAATTGTATTATATGTATAAATATAATTATAATTTATTATAATTTACTATAGTAAATAGACAAGAACTTACTGTTTACGAATACATTTCTTAGATAATTTGTAACATTTATTTTCATTCATACCTTTAAACCTTTAGTTTTTATTATTGGTGGCTTACACGGTTACTACAATTATATGCAAACATATTTTGAACAGATTTTTATTATTATCAGAAATTATAGTATGAGATATTTGTAAATATAAGCATATTTCTATAAATTAGATTTAGTTTTAAATTATATTTTTAAATAATTGAATAACTTTAAATAAGTATTGTGAAAAAAAAATTTAGAAGGATCGCTATTACTAGAATTCTGGTTCTAATGACTTACAATTAAGCCTGTTATAAATACTGTGTGTATGTTACTTTTAGGTATTAGCCTTTAAATGGCTTTCATAAAACATTAGGATAACAATTATTTTTATCATAAAATATTTGTATATTAGCAGTTTAACTTTAAACTTCAACATTTAATAAAATTTATCATTATTTAATTGCTTAAAAAAGTTTATTACATATTAGTTATTATATTCAAAAATGACTAATGTATTATTATATTTAAGTTATATAACTAAAAAAAATTTATTTTGATGTATATCCGTGTATTTATACCTATATTTATGTCTATTTTATTGTATTGAATGTAATACATTAAGCATATTGTCTATACACTTCGAGCTTATTACCTATTATTATTATTTTGAATTTAATGATAGCAGATTATGATAAGTTGCGAAATGGTGAAAATGAGGAGAGGAAGTAATCGCTCAGAACCTTAGCAAGCCCCATTAAACAACACACAAATAATAAATTATACTGTATATTTATTTACAAACTTAATTTATTTCTTCTTATTATTTCCTACAAGGTTATATTACAGGTACCGATAAAAAAAAAAATCCCAGTAACTAAACCTCTTCACTGAATTTTTGAATCTCAATTTAAAAAATTTCCGTATACTTTTTTCTTGAATATTTTCTTTTGGCTATTTTTTTATTTTTATATTTTTTTCTAAATATAAATTTTGCATTATACATTTGTGTATTTTCTTACTTTTATTTGTATTAAAAACAAATTATTATTTGTTTAAAAAATTTCATAATGCCGTTTTATTGATGATAATTTTTAAATATATCAAAGTTTATTTTGCAGCGAAGAAAGTAACACTGATTATGTTTTGAATCATGTATATAATTTTAAAATTACTCATCTTTATTACAATTATTTACTGCAATTTAATCCATAAAATGATTATTTAAATTACGTATACGTTTTATATCTATTAATACTATTGTTATAATTTAACACAAAGTATATATAATAACGTTTTTTTAATTTATTAATAAATATAATTTATTAATGACAGGTTGCTGAAGTGTAATATTTTTAATATACAATAATTAATACATATGGATAAAAATAAAAAAATATTATGGAATGAAGAACTTACACCTTATTAAATTAGCACTTGAAAAAATACTATAATTAGTTATAAATATTTCAATATGCTCAGTCTTAAGGTTGTTGGATAATCTGGTTTGAAAAAATAAAAATGAAATAATTTATTACATTTGGGGAAATTTATAATTAATGGAGTATTAAAAGTTAAAAGCATATGAATTCTTATGATAGGTTATGAAAAACATTAGAAATGAACGTGAGAAATATTGATGGACACGAATTGGTTCTAGGCATATTTATAATAGTTTTGGACAAGAAATAATGCTATTTAATAATTTATACTTAAAGAAAAATCAAAAAAGCGTGTGCATATTTTGTTTTAAAACAATAAATCTATAATTGTATGCGACATTTTGTTACAACCATATAAATTTAATCTATGATGTTAAAAAAATAAATACTTTTGGATATAAAATAGTTATATGTTGTATAACGCAACTCTGAAATACTCGTATGATAAGAAATTAAAAAAGTACAATTATAATAATTAATAATAAATACACAACCGAGGCATAGAAAATAAATTAAAATGTGACTGAAATATACATTTTATATTTATAAGTTAATGTGAAATTATCTGCATAAAAATATATTTATTTTTTTCTAGTTGGATTTCCAGTATTGATGTTTTATTTGTTTGGTTCTCCATACCAAAGAGGATTTTTCTGTAATGATGAATCTATTCGATATCCATTTAAAGAATCAACAGTTACATCAAGTATATTATATACAGTTGGATTAGGACTGCCCTCATTAGTAGTAAGTAATAAGTAATAATTTATCAAAAAAGTCTCCAGACGTTTCGTCCCTGTTCTTAAATGAATTATTACCTATATTATTAATTTATAAATTATAAATTATTTATGACGATCAAATAAATTAAAAATAATGAAATTATTTTCCCATATTCTTAACATATATTTTTTCAAAATCATTAACATTTATTTATAGTTAATAGTTATTATTGATTTTTGATAAAAAAATTAAGGCTTATTAATTTATATTTTACTCTCTGTGGCCTGTATCCATTAATCAGAGTTCATGAATAATCTGTTGTTGTATGCATATCACAATATTTTATTTCGGTTTTATTTTTTTAGAAGATTAATTAGTGACCATGTTTATTTATTTTCCTTATATTCTAGGTAATTACCAAGCACTTTCGCCTAATGTTTTGTTTTAGTAATAAATTTATTAATTAACATTTTTATTACATCTATAATCTATTTAAGAACAATATTTTTAAAGCTTTAAATTTTTATGTGATTTATGGAGTCTTATGTGGTAAAATAAACCTTTTTTGTTTTAATAAGAACAACCTTTTTTTAATGTATATTGTTAAGAATATTACTTTTTCTGAAAATGTTTTATGTGTATATATAAATCGAAATTTTAATGAGTAGTTTTTGTGTTAAGAAAATTAAGTACTTACTAATGATAAAAGCTGTTTATGATAACTATAGTATCTACAAGTTTAGAATATTATAAACTATTATAATTGCTGATTATTATTTAAAAATTATACTAATTAATATTTATTTGTTAATATCGCTTAGCATAATATATATTGATATTACCTATATATTTTATGTAAAATCACTATTGAGGATTATTATTCTTATTATATAAAGCTTAACCACTAGGAAGTTAATTGTTTGAATTTTGAATCGGATGCAATAACATTATAAAAAATGCATCCAAATAACAATTCACACATCGTTGGTACTGGTTCTCATTATTAAAAGTATAGTTTGTGTCGTCATGGAATACTTCTCTATTTATAAAATTGAAATGCTTAAAAATTCTAAAAATTCAAATTTGAATAAACGCATACAAGATAAAATTAATGCTTGTTGATTCACTTTTTAAATAAATGTTGATTATCGCTATTTGTATAACATATAATTATACTTTGACGTTACTATGAATCGTGTATACTACAACACCAATACCAATCACAATTTTCAAACGTAAGTGTAGCGCAACGATATCGATTTTCGGTATTTGTATACATTGCAGTCATCTCCATATTATATACATTTTTGGTTGGTCTTCATAAACATATAATGACTCAAAATTCTTAATATAACTGTTTTAACTATTTTTATATTTTTTAATTATTTTATAAAAAATCGAAATTAATTCACTATCTTATACTTTAAGCACTTGAAACAACATATAATATGTACTTTTATCAATATCTATAAGTTATTGATTCATTTATTACTGTAGTATGAATATTATTATACCAGTTCTAGACTAAAAATGTTTAAAATTTCACATTCTTTTGTTTAAGTGTAATTTTGAATTTTTGATTGAAGATATTAATAAAATACTTGTACTACTCGTCAGGACGAATCGAAGAAGGCGCTCCCTCCTAAATTAAATAAAAAAGATATTATTGTGCAAAGCTTTTATCTGATGACCTTTTTTTTTCTGTCCATGTACTTCTCCCCCTTATGGGAAATTTCTGGATCCGCTCCTGCTATTCGTACTAGTAGCTGGTAAATAATAATTAATGCCTGCATAATACATATACTTGATTGTCTAGATTTATAAGCTATAGACCTTTATTGACAATAATTTATTAACAAATAATTGAATTTTTATGTGAAAAAAATGGACCAAACATCTTGAAATCAAATAAAATTGTTTTTATTTATTAATAAGTAATTACCATAATACCTACTTTATAAATATTTATAGATTTTATTCATCGAATATTCAATGCGAAACAATGAACAATCGCGTTATTCGTTATTGGGAACACCTATCCCTAATTGGGTGTATTCCGTGTACAACAATATGTTATGGTTTTTATTTGGAGCAGCTTGTTCACAACTAACTACAGATATTGGTAAATACACAATAGGAAGATTGAGACCTCATTTTTTAGACATCTGTAAACCCAATATGGACATCTGTAACTCTGAAATCAATAAAACAAAATACATTGAAGATTTTACATGTAACGGAGAAAGGCCCAGCAAATTTACTGATAGTAGATTATCATTTCCTTCTGGACATTCTTCATTATCGTTTTATTGTATGGTTTACTTAGCGGTGAGTATAAATTTCTGTTACATATTTTGTTTAATCTATTTAAATTTAATAATCATTTTGTGTGTGTATATATATATATATATATTAGTTATATTTACAAGCCCGAGTTAAGACAACTAAGTATGGAATGGCAAGAAGCTTAGCTCAGTTTGTGGTTATTGTGATGGCAGTGTTTTGTGCACTATCACGAGTCAGTGATTATAAACACCATTGGAGTGATGTATTGGCTGGAACAATTTTGGGAATTACTACTGCTACTATAACTGTAAGCCAAATGATCAATTGTTATAATAAAAAAAAAATTTTCAAAAGGATAAAATGTAAAGACTGATGTAGAAATTCTTCATATAAACCACTTAATATTTTTTTGTATAAATAATAAATATTTAAATAAAAACGCTGTGGTCTTTCAAAATACATAAATTTAATTTATAATATTCTTTTATGTTTTATGATAAAATTTAACTAATGAATTTATTTGGTTAATTTACTGCTAACTTAGTTTGTATACCTATTAGATTTGTTTACAGTATGTATACGTATATGAAGTATTTAAGATGTTCATGGTAATAAGACAATAAATATTTTCAAATTGATGATTTTTTTTTTTTTTTTATGTTTTGCAAGATCATAATTCATATTTCATAACAAATCTACATACTTTTAAATTCTAAGCAGAGCGAAAAAGCTATCATCTTACTATAATATGATGGCTTTTTTTTATTTACACTAATTATTATTAATAACTAATAATTGATAATAAAGTAATAATCAAATTTAAATTAGAAATTTGTTAATTTGTAATTGAGTGAAAAATTATTAATAATAGTTGATAATTTAGATGATATAGCTACAAAACGTAAAAAATAAATTAATGAAATCAAATCAAATGTATTTTTTAATTTTAATAAATTATTTTCAACCACTTTTAAGAAAATAAATGACTAAAAAATGTATTTAAATATTCGATTTATAAATTGAATATGAACCAATATGACTCGTAAGTTTTTGTTTAAACTAAAATATACAATTTTATAATATTAATTTATGTTTAATTTGTTTTTCCAAACAAATATAAAAAAGAGTAGGTATTGCCTATAGTGTATAGTTTCATAATATTTACAATAAACAGACAAGTATTAAAAAATATTTAATTTACAAAATTATCTTTTTATCAAATCAGAATAATGTTAAAATAAACTCTTTTGACCTTTAATTTTTTTAGATTATGTTTTGTTGTAGTTATATATTATAATCGCCGCTTTTTAGATGGTTGATAGATTCAACAGATTTACATATATACCAACACATAAAAAAAATCTGTCTAATGGATTCACTCTACTCGTATAAGGTCTAAGAATCTCACTGCATTGGTTAATAAAACCGATGTATATTTTTAAATTGATATTTCCACTTTTTAATCCATTTACTTAATTTTATTGCGTATATATTAACAATCAATACTATTTCCTCGATTATCGCTTCGAAAACACTTAAAAACATTTTTCACATTGTTTCAAGTGATTGCAAAACATTATTATACGTATATTGTAAAAACATTTCTTATTTTTTATCGTCATCTATTTGGATGTTTTTTTCTTTATGAATGATAATACATACATTTAAAATATATAAATAAATAAATACATAATAATGAATATGTATAAGTAGATAGCATAATTTAGTTGTTATATTGAAATATTTATGTATTCCTATCTTTCTATTCTTATGCCTTTCATTTTATTGACTTGTTTGGTTAATAGACTCAAAAACTTTGGTCCCAAAGTAAGTTCAATAAGTGATAACTATTGTATTTATATTTATTGGCAAACTTAATCTTGATATTTGATTCATTTAAATATTTTTATTAATAATGAAAATTTAATTCAGAAAAACGTTTATAAAGTTGAATGATTTCATTTAAATTTATGATTACTTTAAAAAAAATTATGTGTAAAAAATTTTTAGTAAAATGCAACTTGCGTCATCGATTTTTTTCAAGTAAATTCGTGTATTTAAAAAAAATTAAATTTAAATATTTCTAGAAAATTTGAAGGTAGGATTTATTTTACTGTTTATAAACAATTAGGTACAATCACTAAAAGTAAATAAGTTGATTGATTTTACAGCTTATTATAAAATAATAATGTACTTATAGAAAATCTGTTCAAAAATATATAAATCTAGATATTAAAACCACAAAATTAAAATTTTTTTAAGCTTATGGTCTTATTGCACATTGTAATACCATACCTATTAATTTATTAATAACGAACGCTATTAGTTATGATTAAAGCTAGGATTTTGATGACTTTTGTGTTTTTTTTTTCTTTAAGTGCTATATATTTCTAACAAAAATCTAAATTTGTTTCATTATATAATAGTTTAGAATGTGAAAATTTTATTTTGCATTTTATTACATTTTTAAGGTTATTTTTTACAAATATTACGTTAATTTTATGTATTTATACTCTTTTTGTTTTTTTTTTTTGAACTTTTTTTTAATATATATTTTATAGGTAATTCCAATAACCTAATCCAGTCCATTAATATTGAAAAAGTAATATAATTAATTGTTAACTCAAATTTGAATATATTTGTTTAATTTACTTCTTAAAACAAATTTTTACTTATTTTGTGTAATATAAAAAATGAACAAACAATAATTATTTTAAAATTATTTTTTTTTTTTTTGCTTGTTTAAGTACATTTTATGGTTATTTTTAAGTTCGTTTTTTTAAGTTTTTAGATCATTTTTTTTTTTTTTTTTAGCGCATTTATGTGTATTTTTTAAGTCATTAAAATCTTAGCTCTAGTTATGATTATTCTTTTTATTTCCTCGTTAAAAATTTGAAAATCAAGTTGATTTAAATTTAACTTAAAAATCAATGTTTCTATAAGATTTAAGTTTGAGAATTAAAAATTAATACTATTTTAATAACTAAATTATTAATAATTATGATTATGTACAAAATTATTTACCAATTATGCTCACTTTCCCCGTTTTTTTCAATAACGTAATTTATAAAATCTGATTTTTCTAATTCTTTAATTCATTTTAAGACAATATTTTCAAATTTCTGAGATCTTTTTAATTCTTATAGAATGTTTTGTGGAGATGCAAACTTTTTTTTTTAAATGAGACGCTTTTCTTTATACTGTGTACATTATTTATTGGATAATTGTTTTCAAAATGTTAATGTATTTAACTTAAAATTTGAATACATAGTTTTTGATTTTTTTCACTTTAGTAGTTACCAACGATAATTGGTTAATGGTAATATGTTTGGAAAATATGATCTATGATAATTTAAAACGTTAGTAATTAATATTGATCAATCAACATTTATAATTTGTCAAGATGATCTAAGTATAATAAATATTATATCCAATATTATTAAAAGTTTTTAATCATTAATATAAACTATAAAATTATTAATAACTGAGTAAAAACTTATTCAAATTTATTTGGAAAAAAATTATCCCGTTACTAAAAAAATATGTAAAAGCTATGGTTCTCATTAAAAAAATATAAGTTTGTGTATCCACAAGACATTTTTTAAGCAGTATAAAAAAATCTCCAGAATTTTAAAATATTCTTAAAGTATATTTAAAAATGTCAAAAATCAAATAACTATTATTATTATTGAAAAAAATCTTTGTGAATCGTCCTGTATGTTTTTATATTATATAGGTACTTAAATATTTTAAACTTAATTATTATAAAAAAATTTCATTTGTATAATTCATTATATTAATTCTGTAACAAAACTAAAGACAAATCAGAGATTTTCTCTTCTTTATTCATATTTAAGCGTATACACTTTCCATATGTTGTATATAATTAAAATATTAAAAACAGTGCGATAAAAACTTTTTTCACTTTTATTTTTATAATTTATTAATTTATTAATTTAGTTTTAGATTTTATTTTTTTTCAATAATAACCTATGTAATATAATAATATTATATTGTTTTTATTATTATCAATTTTTTGGTTGATATTTTGATATGATGAAGGTTTTTTTTAAATTTAAATTGCGGTAGTACTACACTACAGTAAGATGAGTTAAAAAATATTTTTGCAATTTTTTTAATTAGATTCAGCCCTTTCTATTATTCATTAGTAAATAATAATAAAAGTTAAACATTAAAATTAATATTATTATTTCATAATCATTTTTAACTTTAATCATAATCGGTAAATGCATTTAATTAATTTTTAATATACTTTGAATAAAGAAAAATTATTGGTGTTACTAATGTATAATATGAAATAAAGTCCTTTTATATTTATATTTAATTTCAAATTTATATATGTACACATACAGGTTTTGTATATAATTTTATGCATTACAAATATTAATGTATATGTGAATATATATGCTTATAAAATAAAATTTAGGAGGACCTGTTCTTAATATGTACTTATATATTTATGAATATAGTGTGTCTCATTGATGTTTGTACTTTTGCAAATCTTAAAAACTCAATAAGATTGAATAAAAAAAAATAAAAAGTCCAAACATAATGAAATACTTACAATTATTTATTTACTTTATGTACTTATATATTAGAATTCAACTTAATGTTTTAGGCATTATACGTATCAGAATTATTTGCGTCAAAATATAAATCCCTTCGAAAACGTAATTCTTCAGAAGATGACATCGAAACTACAAATAATTTACAAACAACCGAACTCAAATAAATATGCACTAATGCTTCAAACTGCATTTAAACAATATGAGTATTCTTGTGTTTCGTTAATATATTGATTACAAAGAATAATTTAATAAAATTAAAATTTTATTTTCTTCATTATAGTTTAAAGAACAAACTATAATGTTATATGATTGGACAGTAGAATCGTATACATTATTTATGTTAATTATACGTATTTATCATTTTTAGTAATATTAAAAATTATAATGAAAAAAAGTAAATAATTTTTAATTGCATTTTTACATTTTAATTTTTTTTTATCAATTATATATTCTTTATGGCAATTGAGTATAAAAAATGTATAGTTGTTTAAAAAATTAATAATATAAATCCAATATTATAAATTTACTATTAATATAAATGTTTTTTGTTTCTACATTTTTTTCAATTATTGGTGTATAGAATATTATATATATAAATCATATACAATTATAACTTTATATTGTGATCAATTATTAACGTGGGTAGGTACCTAACTATATTTATTTTATTCATAAATGGAATCTTCTCGATTTTGTGCAGCTATTGTATAGGTGCTACTTTTCAATATTATAATACTTCACAATTTTTACAAGAATTTGTATGGTTTTGGGTATTTATTTTAAACTAATTAAACATATTTTTTATATTAAATTTTAAGCTACCAATACATTTTGTTATATAAGACTAAAAAGAAAAAATGAAATCTATTTTTACGCTGTAATTAAATAAAAGCACATTTAATATTATATATTTTATATATCTTATGTAATACTAGTATATATCTCCAACATAATTATAATAATAAGTTCCTTCTTTATAAATGTATACTTTTTGTTTGTTATAACGTCATAAGTATAATTTATTAATTATTTTACTTTAAAAAGGCAGATCTGTAATTGTTGTTACCTGTTCAAATTTAAAAAAAAACTATAATAATATAATCAATTTAAATTTTTATTTATTATTATTATTATTATTAAGATTAATATTTTAGTATTATAATAACAAAATAAATTAATTTTTATACTAATATTGTGCATTATATACATCATAGGTAATCTTTTATTTATTTTTTAATGCATTATGCCTTGTTTTTTAATATTATTTTTTTATTTATTTAACTCCATTTAAAATATAATTTATGAATCTATCTTAGTTAACACTAATCATGAGTATTTTAACATATTTTGTGTAAATTGTCGCTTTACATATTTATCAATATGATGATTAAAATTGTTATTTTTGTTTTCTACTGCAAATTAATAAAGTTAAAAATTATAACGAGAATTAATATATTATATTATTTATTTTTTTTTAAATTGTCAAGTAATAATAAGTATATCTCAAAAATATATAATCACAAAATAAATTAAGTATTGTCCGTTCGATGATTTAACTTTATAGTTAAATCTTCAAGGTGTATAGTAACACAGCGTGTTCAGGAGAAAAATACACAAGTGGTTTACAAAAATAATATACTTATTTATAAATCAACATTAACTTTCAAGACATTTTCGATTACCATCATCGTTTAACTATAAATTGTCTATTTATAAGTCTTATACTCTTAGATAAATATTTATATTCCCAATATTTCATAAATAAATTAACTCTATATTTAAAGTGTAAAAAAAATTGATATTGACGATATTATATACAGCCATAGTGAGCAGTCAAAACCACATTTGATTATTAATACATTAAATTTTAATATGAGAGTAAATATTGAGGGTTTAAATAAAATCAGGGGAGCTAACCCCCCAAGCCCCACCCTTTTTGCTCCTATGATCGAACCTACCTATCTTATATTCTTATTACCCGGCGTAATAGCAGAAAACCCTTATATTATTCGATTATTTTAAAAATTATTTAAGAATTTGTAATTGACTAACGCCAAATCTGACAACACCGCACGATTAAAGGCAGGTAAAACGTTCGCAATCGTATATCATTCGGTTTATGTGGGCAATTTTTTTTTTATTATATACCTACACAAAAGATTAACAAGCATACCTACATCTTATACTAGTTATACTATAGTGTATAAACGTACTATAGTATGGAAACGAGGGTAGTCCATCTGATAAGCGTGAAGCGAGTGTCACTTTTGTAAACCAGATCGAGACGTAAACAGCTTAGACTATGAGTAATTACAACTTTTGTATACCTTCCACATCCAAAAAGTAATTTTATTTAGTATGTTATATTTAGTTTTATAAATAAAGTAATTTATTAATTTTTTTCATTTGTATGAATCACGTGTGCAAAATAAAAAATTTTCTTGATATCATAATTTTTTTTTTTTTGAACTAATTTTGGTTTTTACGGGCAACCGCTTAATGTTGGCAAACAGGGCTAGTTCCTACGGACCCACACTAAGCGGAATCCACCATGTGCGTAGCTAAGATTTTAATCAGAGGGAGAGGGGCAGTTGATAGTCTCTTTTTTTTTACTTTTTCGATTTTATAGTAAGACTTATACGTTTGGTATGAGAAATAAAATTTAGTTTATAACGCAGGGAGGGGCACTTGCATCTTTACCTCGAGGTAGCTAGACAAAGTATTTCAGATAAGTATTTTTATTCTCAGACCCATAACTCTTAAAGTCTTAAGTATTATGCGTACTTATGCCTTATATAAAATACGGGCGAGGGTAAGCAGCTGCGCCCCTCTAGCTATGTATGCGACCAGCAGAATACTAATTTTCTAGTGAACTATGAATTCTGGAAAATATGAAGAGGTCTAATTTTCTTACATGGACGTTTATTATAAGAGTTAAGGAAGCGTTTTAAATTGTTTTGGGGTTCAACTTTTAATAGTAAAATTTTATTAAATGTTCAAGCTGACTAAAAAATAAACATTTTGTCAACATACAAATAGAAAAAAAACCAGAAAAGTTGAGATTTCAAAATAATTACCTATGTAATTAGCTTTAGATTATTTTGTACAATAATTAGATTTTTATATTCTGAGAGGAGCGATGAATGTAGGTATTGATTTAACTACGCTGTATATTATTTTTTTCTGTCTAGACATAATAATATAATATATCTATATCTGTGCTGTCAAGCTAATCATTGTACAATACCAATTAACTATACATATATTCCTATTTATAATAGACATATAATTTAAATGTTTGTGTGGGATGACCCTAATTATTAATGGATTACAATCGGTATAACGATACCATAATAACCGGGCGTGAATATGTTAAATATATTGTTTTACAATTATTATAAACATAGCATTATAAAATATCATGACATCTATTCGAATTCTATAACTTTAACATAATTATTTATTTTGAGACAACATTCTGTTTTTAGATGACATTTTCAGACTATTATATAATTTTACCAGTGTTTTTTTTTTATTTTCAAAACGTCAACGTATGAGCTAAATTAATTTTTATAATGGAAAATATACTGTAGCGTCTGTAGCCTGTAAATAGTCGTAGGTAGTTTATAATATTATACAGTTATTTTAAATGGTAATACAATCATGAAGTAGATATCCTATTATATTCGCGATATTTTAATATTTATTAGAATTATTAGATGAAAACCAACCTATACATAATGATAAAAGAAAGGAAGGGATAGACGTATTAATTTAATTTGATTTATCAGGGCCATATTAATATGGATTATTGTATTTATACATAAAAAGGGCTCATTCAACAAGGTTTTTTAGTACACTATACACAATAACAGTAATCCCTCGACTAATTAAAGTTTTAAATTATCCTTTAATACTATGGATTTGTATAAAGATATAGTTTTTGAAGTTTTATTAGTTTCATTGAGTAAGATAAATTTATTAATTTACAAATTAATAAACCTATTTTAATTATAACGACTTCTAATAAATGATTTAAGTAAATTTTAAGTTTAATTTTTTCTTTTAATAGTTGGGTTATTGGTTTTGATAACATCGTCCCTTGAACCTATTTCTAAAGGTTTCTTTTGTGATGATGAGACAATTAAATATCCATATAAAACATCAACGGTTGGAAAAACATTCTTATGTCTGTTTTATCTTCTTCTACCAAATGTTTCGGTAAATAATTTATATTTTTAGTTATTATGCTATGGTATTTAATTTTTTGGATTTAATTTATTATTTTTAAAGATATTGAATGCTCATAAAAACTTAAAATAATATTAATAAATATTATAATTGAATAAGTTAACAATTCTCATTAAATTTTACTTAAAATATGGGTCAATTGAACTATTTTTATTTTTACTTAATGAATATATTGTTTATATGTTATTTATGTATTATAGTATTAAATTACATTACTAGTTATATTTTTTTTTATTTTTAGTTCCATGATTTAATTCAATCAAAAAAAAATTACCTGTTTTTTCCAATAAATAATATTAGAATAAAATAAAAGCAATTTCAAATCTATTCTATTAATCACATTCGATATTAATATATTATACATTTATACTCTATAGTTAATAGTTTATACTGAATTTAATTAAGTATTTTAACATAATTATTTATTAGTAATTTTAAATTTTAGATAAGTTTGAAGTATTACTGGATTATACATAAAAACATAAAAATCCTATATGTAAATATAATTTATTTCTGGTTGGGTTCTGGATTAGCCCAAATTACAGTAAATCTGGGAAAATATTATTCTGGACGCTTGAGACCTCATTTTTTTCATGCGTGTAAACCAAGTATTGAATGTACATCACAAAGTCAATACATTACAGAATATACATGTACAAATCCAGAAGTATCTATATCAAATGACTCAAGGTAATTTATTTGAATTATTCAAGCAAATTATTTTACATTGTATACAAAACAAAAATATATTAAACCACATAAAAAATTATTTCAGAGCATCTTTTCCTTCAGGGCATGCATGTTTAGCATTCTATTCAACAGTATACACAATTGTAAGTGTGTTAAACATCATATTATAATGGTTAAATAATATTATACTTATAAAATATAAATGTATTATTTGCTTATGTTTAAAAGTTGTATCTACACAATTATAAAAAGAATGTGGCATGGGTTATTATTCAATTTGCAATATTTATATCTGCGTGGTATACAGCTTTAACTAGAGTCACTGATAACATGCATCATTGTACTGATGTAATAGCTGGTTCAATTATTGGTACATCATTTGCTATTTTAATGGTAAATAATACGCCTATGTTATATTATTATTATCAATTATAGAATTATAGAGGTATCTATACTAGGTAAACAATTAATCAATAAAGTTTTATTTTAAATAGATGTATGAAGTGAAAATACGGATATCTTTAGAAAACATAAATGCAGTCTAATATGAAAATAATTCAATATGATTTTTTTTTTTATTATTATCATATTATGTTTACAGCACCAATGTTAAATATTATTATTATGTACTCTGTCATTGTCAAGTTGAGCTAGTTGTTTAAGAAATCCATTGTTTGGCCTAATATCTCTTGCTTTTTTTACTTTTTCTACTGCTTCCTTAGCTCTTAATCCTTTTTTTATCATTAAATAAGCAATTGTAATTGTTGCAGATCTTGAAATGCCCATTATGCAATGAACCAAAACCTTACCTACAAATTTTGAATAGATATATTAGTTTAAATTTATGAAATATTTAAATTTACATTTTTATAAAAATTAATTGAAATTTACCTTTTTGTAATAGTGCGTCATCTATGAAATTAGATACACTATCAAAATATTCATTTATTGCAACATTAGGATCATCACATAAAGCTAAACCCATGTATTGAATATTAAATGGACGATAAAATTGTTCATTTGTATCAACCATGCCAAATCCAATACCTTGGGCAGCATTTACTACATGTGTGATACCAAGTGAAAGCAATAAATTAAGATTTTTTGCAGTGTTCCTATGGAAAAAAATATTTTTATTACAAATACTTCATTAAATGCATTTATATTTACCAATCTCCAACATAAACTCTTGGACAAATTTCATTATAATCACATGTTGATAGATATTTTTTTTTTGGAGGAGGTTGAGTACGTAAAAGCACCGCTTGCAAATCCTCAAAAGTAACTTCTTTTTTTGGTTCTTTTTTACGAAATTTTGCTAATAAATAGTCCATTTTTGACAACAAAATATTTTATTTTTTATTTAACTGATAAAAAAAAATTACCTAAAAATGAAATAAAAATAATTAATTTTTGTACATGTATATTATTGTATATTTGTGTGTATACCTTTCCATAATTTTCTATATTAAGAATTAATTATAAAATATCTTATTCTCAAAATACAATCTATTTTTAAGTAAATTTAAGTATCTAGTTAGTAGATAATTATATTCTAGGATAAGTTCAATAATTTATACTTATAGAATTGTTTTTCAACAAATTGGAAAACCTTGATAGTTGATGATTACTTTATGATACCTAATGTGCAACTACTTTACACTTTAAAAATGTATTATAATTTATACAATCAAAACTAAAATAAACAAAAAAAAATAAAACATTATTACCTGTAGATAATTTTTTGAAAGTAGTGATTTGATCTCAGTGTGAATTTTTAGTCTTTGAACCAAAAATTGATTCATACAGCATAAAAATTGAAAAATTGAGTTAAAACTATTAAGTAAAAATGTAACAACTAACAACAAATTGTTTAAAATTTATTATATTTATTTTTACTATTATCAAAATTAATTTTTTAATTTTAAATAATATCTATGGACTATGATATATGTAAGATTATTTAAGTATACATCCAAATGGTCCAAAGTATAAACCAAAATATTTTATTTTGAATGGCAAAATGGCAGTAAAAATAATTATTTATATAATTTATAATTATAAAAATTTTGCATTTTAAAAATATTACAAAAATCACATTTATCGATTAGAACCTGCAAATTATAGATTTTTTATCGTCTTTGTAAGTCAAGATAAAATAAAATCATTAATTAAATTATGCATGTAAAATTTAAAATTTTTATCTATGAAAAACTCATAAATGATAGAAATTATTGACAATTATTATGCATTAACTTATATTTATTTTGGCATAACCATATAAATCTATACATTATTGATTACTCAATAAAATACTTAACATAATATAAGTGATAAAAAAAAACATAATACCTATTTTAGATAATTATTGTAAATTAAGCTTTATAATAATAGTTTAAACAGTATAGTAATAAAATTAAAGACAAACTTCTTTTATAAAGAATTATAATTAATTTAAAATGATAAGTATTACAAACAAAATTTATAATACCTACTTTGTAATTTGTTTGTTTATGACTTGTGACAACACTATATTATTGAATTGTGAGTCTAATTTTTTTTTTTTTTTTCATATAAAAATATTCCTTTGCATAAAATAACATGCAATCGTTTTAGATAAAATTATTTATGATAATTATTATGGACATTCTTAACGACATTAATTAGATTTTCAACCGGTACAGGAAATTTAATTACTGCAGCACGCCGGGTGGCAGAGATCGTCGATAGTAATGGATTACATAGGTGATTATTACTTATTATATATACTTTTAATAAAATACACTGAGAGTAAGTTATTTTGCTTTCAGTTATCATAAATTTTAAGCGGTACGTTAAACCACCGAACGCATGCCATGAGAGCTCTCGGTCAAAATTATCACACGCATTAAAATTTTAAATTACTTAATATCATGATTAAATTGTCATTATTGCCGTTTGTGAAAAATAACGACAAAATAAAAACTAAAAAAAGAGCACTGGCCTAGGGCAGCAACGATAGCCGCAGCCTGCACTACGTAGTACGTAGTAGTGTAGTACGTAGTTTACACTTCTACAATCTGCAGCCTGCAGCCAGCATTCAGCAATCATCCCGCGAGTTCGTGGTTGATAAGAAAGGTAAAAAAATCATGATAATATATTTGTATTTTTATGGATAAGACTAAATTTGATACATTATGATTGGTCGTCGGTGACAGAGCGAGCTCGGAAATAGATTGTCTCGTTATCTACAACTGTTTACCACGGTTATGGTAAGTTGAATTAAGTTAACCATTTGTACACGACTATGGAATATACACATTACACACAAGCACACAAGCACACATAATATAATATATAAATATATATATGTGAGGCATACGCGTGTACGATGACTACAAAATGTGTAGGTGTGTTAAATGTACTAATGTGTGTGCTGTGTTTAAGAGAACATGACACATGAATGCATGAGGACGTCTTACCGATATCGTAAAGAGTGACGATGACATGCCGTCCTGCGGATGATGTTTGTTATAAATTGTTGTAGGACGTATTCACCGAGACACTTAGTACAAAATGTGAAGTACATACAGTTTTATTATTTTATAAGCAATAAAAAAAAAAAAATAAATAATATTTACAATGTTAGGTAGTATTTAATCACAGGATTATGAGTGTAATAATTCTAGTCATGACTGCAGTGATACAATTACAATCATAGTAATAATGATTTTTTATAGTTTTTTATCATATTAAAAAGAAAAAAAACGACACAATGTGTTTGGTGCTCAAGTACGTATTTATACTATTATGGCTTATATACACTTTCGCCTCTATTATACTTCTATTCAGCAAGGGACTATTACTGCACAGAGATGTGTTGCCTAATAAGTCCATCTGTGAAACCGATGACAATTCTCTCCAAGAGTGGACACAGAATTGCACAAAAACCAATACAAAAGTGGTAATGATAATTATTGATGCCTTGCGCTATGATTTTGTCATTCATTCTGATCAAGACATGCCATATACAAACAAAATCACAGTGTTCAGAGACATAATGGCCAGTTATCCGAAACAGTCAAGATTATACAAATTCATTGCTGACCCCCCGACAACTACTATGCAAAGATTAACTGCTCTCACTACTGGAAGTTTGCCTACTTTTATAGATGTTGGTTCAAATTTTGCAACTGAAGAGTTATTGGAAGATAATGTTATAGATCAATTAGTAAATAATGGAAAAAAAGTTGTGTTTATGGGAGATGATACTTGGGCAAATTTATTTCCAAAAAGATTTTATAGAAATTATACATATCCAAGTTTTAATGTTTGGGATTTGGATACTGTTGATGAAGGAATAAAAAAAAACTTATATCCTGAAATTGTGAAGGATGATTGGGATGTTTTGATTGCTCATTTTTTAGGAGTTGACCATTGTGGTCATAGATATGGACCAAATCACAAAGAAATGGAAAGGAAACTCAATGATATTAATATAGTTTTAAGGTGAGAAGTTTTTTTAATTCTAATTTACTATTCAGTTTTTTACTGTTCCCTTAAATTGGATGTATTAATATATTTATTTAAATTTCAGAGACATATTAAAAGAGATTCTTGGACGTGAAAATATCATGCTTTTTGTATTTGGTGATCATGGAATGACATCAAATGGTATGTAAATATATATTTTTTCCATCAAAATAAGTATTATTATATATTTATGAAAATAACTATATTTTCAGGTGATCATGGGGGAGAATCTGATAACGAATTAACATCTGCTCTTTTTGTATTGTCATCATCTCAAGACTTACAACCAAAAACAGAAATTGATATTAAACAAGTTGATTTAGTACCAACTTTATCGACAATAATGGGTGTTCCTATTCCATTCTCAAATATTGGCTCTCTTATAAAATCAGCTTTACCTCAGAACTTTCATTTAGTCAATAGTATTTGGAGAAACGCTAAACAAATTAATGATTATCTTACAACATACTCATTAAAAAATGATGAGCTTAATGACAAGCATATTCATTTTATTAAAGATTCATTCAAAATGTTAGATATTCAACATAATACATTTGTAAAAAGTTGTGAAAATTTTATGCAGCTAAGTAGAAGAGCGTGTGAAGAAGTTTGGATACGTTTTGATGAAAGTTCTATTTATAAAGGATTAGTCCTAATGTTTGTATCATTATATTTTAGTTTCTTACTTGTTGGCTCATCTGCTTTAGATCATTATGATAAAATTACTGGCACACAAGTACTCGTTATATTTACCATAGTTTTTCCATTGAATTTAATTGCATTTTTATTTTATTTTTATAGAATAATTCATATAACTGTCGTGTTTTTTATTACTGGATTTATTGGTACTATTTTTCTTGCCTTATTTTGTGTAGTTTGTTGGTCATCTTTAACACAAGATTTTATTGATACAAACAAACCTGATAAAATATTAATACGTATATTTACTGTATTAACTACTCTTGGTTTTTTTTCTAATAGTTACATCATTGAGGAATCATATGTATTGCATACATCATTTGTTCTTTTGCTATGGTATCTTGTTGTGCGATTTAAATTAGAAAACAGAAAGACATGGTTTCGCAATAAAATAAAACCTAAAAACTTTTCACTTAAACATTGGATCACATCACTAAACTGCAAGGTTGTATGGTGTTCAATTATATTTTGCATTATATTGCGTTACTCTCACTCATATTGGAAATGCCGTGAAGAACAAGGATGGTGTTTTGAAGATGGAGCTCAAACCAAAACTGGAAGTTCAATAATTTCCATATTTTTTATTGTAATTTCTGTTACTGTTGTTCATAAGTCATTGAAATGTTCTGGAAATCTAACTGGATGTTCTCTAAATGTTTATTTGTCTTCAATTTTACCAAGACTATTTGCTGTACTATTATCTGTTCATTGGGTATTTGAATCTTCATTTCAACGCATCAAGCATACCATACCATATGTGGCATACATACCAAATGTTATTATATTATTAACTGTATTATTAATGATGACATTATTTGTAAGCCCATTGCTTGTACACTATGTAGACTTACAAGAAGGAAAAGCTAATAATCAATCGGAGAATTTTTATCAACTGGTTCTCAGAATAGCAAAAAATATTGTGAAAATGCAGTTAGGTCCTCATATTCAAGGTTATCCAATAGTATATGGACTTGCTACAGTTTACAGTTCAACTTTTCTGATATTTTCAATATTGTTATGTATTTTTGGAGGATTGCTATTTGGATATGTATATGCAGTGTCAGTAGTTATCATGATTATTTCCATCTGGATAATGGCCATGATTGTTTCGGTCATAAGGCATAATCAGTGTACCAAAATCAGTTAGTATTTATGAATTATTTTGTACAAATTGTTCATTATGGATGTATGTATATTATATCTTTTTAAATTAACAAATTCACAATAAAAATTAAATTTACTTACTACATTACATGCATATGAACATTTTGTAAGTATATGATACTTGATATATAACTGTATAAAAACAATTTAAAATTATTGTTATAGATGAATTATATACTGTAAGCTGGTTGTATATTTTGTTATGGACTTTATCTTCATCATACTGGTTCTATGGTACTGGACATAATCCTTCATTCCCTGCAATACATTGGAATGCTGCATTTGTGTTACAATCAGATATAGAAAACAATACATGGCTTCCTGGATTTTTTATTCTAGCGAACACTTTTTTTTCACATGCTGTTCATGCATTTTTATTGCCGGTAATTTATCAAATATAAATTTTTCTTGAGTAAAAATTTGATTTTGAAAGTATATAATTTTTTTTCACATTAATGTTGTATGTTAAAATAAACTTGTCATCATTAAATACACAAATAATTATACATTTATGAATATTCCTGAGAATTTTTTTTATAATATTTTAATATTTAGCACAATAAATTCATAATTTTAAGCTTGAAAACTATAATTTAAAATATTTATTCAATATTATATTAAATCTGATTTTTATAATATGTTTTATTATAGCTGCTATTAATTTGTCCATTTACTATTCATGGTGCTTGGACAGGAAAATCTTTGCCTCCCAAAGATGAAGATGAACAAACAATGGCTAGAGGTGAATTATTATTAGCTGAAAAATCAAGACAGATGATACATGGTGCGTTTGATTTAACGGCTAAATATATTCTGGCCAATTGTTTTAGGGTAAGTATTAGATAAATATTATCTACTTATAATTTTAATGTTTGATTGATAACAAAATTCAGTTTTTTTTTTTTTTTTTAATATTAGGTGGCTATGGTCATGGCAGCAGCTACCATTCATTCACGTCATTTGATGATGTGGAAAATTTTTGCTCCAAAATTAATATTCGAAGGAATAGCACTATTTATAACATTGCCTTTTTCTTTTTTTGGATTTATTCTTATGTATCGTGTAACTCAACACATAAATGTGTTATTTGAAAGAATTATGTCACAACATTCAAATTAATTTTTTTGTTGTACATTCTGTGACTGTTTAAATATCTAGTTTTTTTTTAAAAAAATTCAAATAATTTTAAGTAATATTTTTTAATAATTACTAGATTCATTCACGTATATATAAGCCTTAGATTACAAATATACTAAAAAAATAATTTAATTTGTAATTTAGAAATATCAAAACTTTTTCTAATAATTTAGTATTATATTTCTTAATAGGTACCATGTATTTATAGAGCTTAACAGTTGATCACATTTCACATGTTAATTTTGTGTTGAAGTTTTGAATTAATTTTTGTTTTTTTTTTTTTTTAGTTTTAATATATAAGCCATGACTGATTGTAAGTAGATATAATTAAAATCATTCTTTGAGTAGTTATATATGCAATGTGTTTTTTTAATCCTATAATATTAACAGTTGATAGTAAATTTCTACTGTAGTATCATTGATTCTAATATATATCTCTCTCTGACTAAATACAATGCTTTATTCATTGTCACAAAATGTATTGATTTATCAACTTCTTTGAGTGACTGATAATCAACTGTATTTTCCTTCTAAAATTCTAAATAACATTTAAAAATTTTTATGTCTTACCAAATGTCCAAGTAATTTTGTTTTACTTTAGCTTATAGTTTTGACAATAACTTTTTTTTCATATTTTTTTATTCATTTTTCTTATTGCCCAATTTGTGTTCTTTTCCATTCTTACCACATTACCACAGCATTATATTTTATGTTAATCAAACATAAATCCACCCGGTATGTTTGAAAAATAACAATCATGTTGTACATATAATTTTGCATTCCAATATATTATTTAAAAAATAATAAAAATATAGTTTCGTATGTGATATTATATTAAATATATAATAAAAATAATATGTTGGTGATATTTAATGATCATTTTATAAATATATATATTAAGTAGTAACAAGTCAAATTAAAATGTTAAATAGTTGTGATAGTTAAATATGTGTTTTTTAGGTTCTGAACAAAACTAATTGCCTATCTATTTATTGATTTTACATAAATATTTTAATTATGCTTCTGTGAATACTTCATGGATTTCTTTGGAAACTTTTAATTAAAAATAATACTTTCTAAAAATTAAGTTTAACTTTATTGCTTTTAAAATGATATGATATATTGTTAAATTATTATTTTATACGAAAGTAAATGAAAAGAGTTGTCTTGTGCCAAGTGGTGGACTGAACGACCGGAATAACTGGAAATTTCCCAATGGGCCGCTGCTCGA